TCTGAAATTGGTCAAGTCTCTCACCGACCTGGATCATGCATGTTTATAAAATCAAGCAGCTTTTGGTAATGTCTTTGGCTCTCACCGTCTCTCTCTCTCTCTCTTAAACGTAATGTCTCTCTGAAATTGGATTTCACGTAAACCTGGATAATATGCGTCTCTGTGTTCGAAGCAACGCCGGCATCGACGAGCACAAGGCACCCATTCAAAATGTCTCGGCAGGAGAGATTTTCTAGTTTTAATTATTATTTTAGCGTGGGCTGCAAAAGAACATGGAATTACCTAATTTTATAATCAATTCTTATACCTAGCTGAACTATTCTGAACTCAATTAAATCAGTTGTTGGTGACCTCAGTTATTACAGACTAAACCACAGACATACACCATGTGACTTTGAAATTGGTTTCAACCTTTCCTTAACCTCAACTACGACTACTCTGTTGCCTTGAGCTTGAATGGCTCTGAGTCCAGCTATGAATGCTTCTTATTTGAAATTCAGAATCATCTCAAAGAGCAGGTTCATTTCTCATCCAATAAACTCTTTCAACTGCATCATCAAGACTCACCTCCAAACCAGCATCTGTAATGGTGGACCTCTTGAGGCTGACTGAGCGGACACCCTTCTTGGACAGTGGGTAGTTGTCAATGAACTCACAAATGTCCAGGTCTGACACACCCACTAAGCAGAAAGACTGGAAACCACGAAGGGCGAAAGCCTGTAGACTAACAAACTCCTTCTCCCCATTGGGCAGTAGGGTGTAGAGCTCCTTGGCATGCAAGATGGGTGTCACACCCTCCCAGAACTTGGGCTGATATAGCACCTTTCGCCATGTCTTGCATACCTGTGCCAGCACACATTTTTCACCTGTGGTGAAATACCAGAGCAGTCGGTTGAGCAACTTCTCATCCAGGACAAGCTGACGCTCCAGCAGCATCGGTTTGGGTAGAGTGAGAGGGGGAAGCTGGCGAAGGGAAGGCTTCAAGCCTACCAGAGGCTTTCCAGGCTCCATGTCAGTGCCCAAAAGAGAGGCTGCCGAGTGGGGCATGCCAGGGCCGTCCAGGTGGTGGTGGTAGGGCAGGGAGGATGTTGGAGTAGGCAGGATGGAGGGTACAGATGAGGACTGGCACAGGCGGTTTTTGGCAGCAGGTGTCCCTTTGGTGATACTCGCACTACCCAGACCGTTGGGCTGGCTGGGGGGCAACTTCACCATTCCGTTGCGAGTCACACAGGCAGACTTCAGCTCGCTGGGGGTTGACATGTTCAACATTGGGAACCTTATGAAACAGAAAAGATCCACAGTGGGCCATTAAACACTGAAAACAAATAAATACTATATTTATGTTCATTATGATCATTCCTTATAGTTCTTCTAATTCCAGTACTTTATTACTGTACACATGGTTTCTGTAAATGGGAAATTGATCTGCAGTTTGTAAATATTGAACTACATCTTTGTGCATGTGCTTCTTAGTATCAATAATGTCATATTGCAGTGGATGCAATTGATGGAATTAGTTTAAATGTTGTCGACGTTGTTGATGTTAGCTATATAAAGCTACACATGTTAAATACCTATTGAACTTGTCAGACTATTTATCTTGTGGTATTTCTCTTAGAATGTCATTTAAACCATCAAACAGCACCAGTTTATTTTGCTTCATGTGATGCTAGTAACGTGTAGGGTTTCTCTCACTCACTAATTCACTGCAGCTATTTTGATATGAGTCAGTCAAGGCTCTATCTAAATAGAGCACAACCTTAATTGATGTGACTAGTAACACCTGTGTTTACCTACCATTTCATGTCAAAATGGCTGCGGTGAAAAAGGTCTGTATTAAAGGTTTGTCAGTTGAGTTTACAGAAAACACTTTGCACAAATGGGATTCAAGCGTTTCCATCTTTAGCTCTTCACTGTTTGAAATTGTCTATTTTGGCTGAGAACTGATGAAAAGGTCCTGAATTTATGAGGATACTAGAAAACAGCAGGACATATTTGTAATTGGTACACTGACAACCATTTTGCAGTCAGCAAAGTCCAAATGTTACGGTGATCAGCATCCTGCTTCCCTGTTGTTGTTTGACTTAACAAAGCTGGACACTCCAAGTGAAAACACATTGTAGTTGGAAAAAATGCTATGGCCCATGGCCTCATCTAGCCTGTTGTCTGTGATCTCACTGAATCAGCATCAGGAGGACAGGCTCCAACCGCTCAGTTACGTAACATGCTGACTTTGGCACTTCACACACTACAGCATCGCTTTGTCCCACTCTACTGACAGCAACCCCTGCATCAGCATGCATGTATATGCTGTTATCAGAAACACTTTTCAGTATGACAGCTTTTACGTTCCAGCACTTGAATATATTTGCCCTCGATTCCTGAACAGATGGAGACGGGCTCTGCCGATGCAGCATCAACAGGGTTCATCATTACATAAGACAACAAAGTTGTCAACTAGACCAGCTACAGAAAGCCCTCCCTAACATTTCAAAGAAAGGATTGTTTCCGTTGTACTTTTACTGCATTTAACTGTAAATATAATGCATTCTGCTGAACTAATACTGTATTCAGCTGAACTATTACTGCCTTCAACTCTAAATATAC